AACAAAGGTAAAGGGCAAATATTAACCATATATATTGTTTATACTGCTTGTAATTGGGATAAGGTAAACATCTGTTCAGTATTTTAACATAAAAGTGTTGATTGTGAGGCATCAAAAGCCACAAAATGCAACGGGTCCATCAGACCCACAAACACTGGCTGAGTAACAACAATATGAACATTACACAAGGGTTAAATTGAAACACATTGACTTTGATTAGTGGTGTGTGGTGTATCTTTAATGTCCACTGTGTGTTTGTTTTCATGTTTACAGTTGATGTCCCAATCCATTTTCTTAATGCTTCACGTTCTTTCATATTGCAGTCCTGTGAAAATGCAATTGTTTGCTGGAAACCTGGAAAAATGGAAGATGACATTGACCACATTAAACCTAATGAGTCTAATGTGACAATTCTGGGACGGTTTGATTATAGCCAGTGTGACATCTGGTACATGCGCTTCTCCATGGACTTTTGGCAGAAGGTCAGACAAGTTATATCTGCATTGCTTTCTACTCTCTTGCTGTATTTACTTGTTTTAAGGCTGTTTCCTCTTTTCTTTTCTGATTTACAGATGCTAGCTTTAGGAAACCAGGTTGGGAAGCTTTACGTTTGGGACCTAGAGGTAGAAGATCCACACAAAGCCAAGTAAGTTTGTTTATTGTAATCATCGAAGTGTGACTTTAACTGTCAAATAGAAATGAAACAGTGCTCATTATCATTCCTTTGCTGCTTCTCCAGATGCACCACGCTGACCCTCCCCAAATGTGTGTCTGCCATCCGACAAACCAGCTTTAGCCGTGATAGCAGTATCCTGATTGCAGTGTGTGATGATGCCTCCATCTGGCGCTGGGATCGGCAACGCTGACACTTGTGGACTGAAGAAAAAGAAATGCTGCTGCTTTTGGTGCTTCCATTTGCCCTGATGCGTTGTCCTTGGCTTTTTATGTTTAGAAAATGTTTCCTCAAAGACAAGTAAATATTTTTTTCCTTTTTTTGAACAACAGTGATGCAGAAAAGTAAGATAAAAATGGGGCTTGTAATCATTCTAGTAATTTTATTTTCATTGACTTTATTATTGAAAATTATAACATCATGTTGGTAAAATAGGCATCGGCACAGCTTCGTCTCTCCTTAGTGTGCCTTTCACATTTTTAAATCAATAAAGCCTGAAGATACATTACGTTTGATTGTGAAGACCTTTAAGATGCAGGTGGTAGAACTTCATCTGTTAATCAACAAACCTCAGAGTTGTTAGATTTCCACACCCTCCTGCGTTCCATACCTCTTAAATCTTGCTTTATTTTATGTCCAAGCACAAACACAATTGTTACGTACATTTTGTTTATAGTGACGTGAGGCGTTATCATGTGTAGTCAATAAAATATTGTAAATATGAGTCAATTTGTGCTGTAAATATTGTCTAATCTGGCATCATTTTTTGCAAGTGTAACATTCTGTAAAGATTTAATACATTTGCATTTCACTGTGCATTGTCAAAATAAGGTAAAATAATTTGCCAACGTACCTACATTAAATGAATTCATAGTGAAACAGTGATTTTTGTTAGGTTTTAGGAATAAGAATCGTTTAATCTGAATAAATGGAAATTATATAAAACTTAATTTAAAAAATCGAATTTGTTTAGTAAACAAGATAAAATCAAATGCATATAATTCTGAAAGAATATAAGCATTACGTTATTCATTCAACTTAATATAAATTAAAAAAATGTTACGGTCATAAAGTATGTTAGGTACAGTTAGGTATTAGCTTATACTTCAATAACTCCATGTGATGATATTGTTCATTCGTTTCTATAAAACCTAGGGCTTCTTTCTTCGTTATACACAGTTGTGTTTAAAAACATTACAACCATATTCTCTTAAATATACAACAGTGTTGCAATAAATTGACGACTTTATGTTGAGTTATTTCAGTGTGTAAAGGTTTGACTCTGCTCTCCCAGTTTTCTCCCCTCAGCTGGACCTCAGACGACCAGCCGCCATCAATAAAAGTTGCACCTTGTGCTGGTTGTACAGTGGTCACGTGATCATACTTCAGTGACTTCACTGATCACACACACACACATCGCCGGGTTGGGGGCCACTCTCACCGCCTACCCAACATGAGTACGGACTTTGTCCCTGTCACTTTCGACGAGTAAAGACAAACAGAGCCACACGGATTTAGAAACAGCCGCGGACAAAGAAGCATGTTTTCAACCAAGACTGTGAAAACTGAACCCAGCCATCACCAGCATGTCTCCTCGGCAGAGCAGATCCTCATGGTGGAGTGTTGTTGTGGGCCGGGCCACAACTGTGAGCTCCACACGGCCGACACCGGTAGGATTCCTTGCTCCGCGGATTGTCAGGTACGGCAAGTGTTTCCGTTATCCAATATCGAGTTATCGAAGAGAACGTTTTCACAGCCGTCCCTGATCCACTGTCACCGAGGTCTCCAGTACGGGATAAAGGTTCATAACATGTTATATACAGTATTGTAATCAGACAAGAGTGAGTTTTAAAAAATCTTGTCTAAGCCAGAAAATCATCTCCAATTAAAATAAATTAAAAAAATATTTTTATTGGCAAACGAAAGATAATCACAAAATAGGTAAACAATAACAAATTTAAAAAGACACAATACAAAGAGTTGCACAAAGGTGGGGTGGCATTCCATTCTGATTTCCTCTGTTTACACAGTACAGTCATTTGAACAGAGCAAAGATGATCTATGATCACCTCATGCTCTTTATTGTGTGTTTTATTGTGTTTGCAGAGTGTCTGGGAAAAGATTGGTTACTATATATTTTGTTATGCTAACCCATTACTATATCTGAAGATAATCTCAATCAGGCCTCCCTGTGGTCAGTGAAATGGTGGAATTATTGTCTCTACTTGTCACAATTTGAGAGTTTTCGCTCTATTTAGTGTAATGTTTATTAAAAGTAAGAACACAGACACTGTACAGAGAGATTGGTTTCAGTTAGTATGTCTACAGAATCAGCTACGAGGCTAAAAATAGTCCTGATCAGAAGGATCAGGCTGCCATATACACCTGTGGTACAGTTTTTTTTTAGAAAAAAAAAAATTATCAGAACATGAATTATATACAGCTAAGGTATGAGAAAACACATGCTTATTTTCTAAGATTAGATTAGTCCTTTATAAATCAGCTCTCCTCCCAGCTCTTTTATGTACCACTGACCTCGGAACCTAAGTAGAGTCACATTAGGAGGCTTAAGTAAAGTTTAAGTAAAGGGGATTTTTTTTTATCACAAATCGAAATCTGTCCCATTAGGCTTTCTAATGTAGTCTGTCAAACATTGAACATAAAATTATTATAACATTAGACATCTGTCATCCTGTCTTTGCCCTGTGAAACCCACATTTACTCAATAGAATGGTGCAATCCAGTTGTGAAGTGTATTACGCTGTACTCGAGTATTTCGCTTTGCCCTTTGTTAGAATTCCCAACCCTTCAGTAAAAAAGGGCGGCTCAAAGAAAAGTGGACTGCAAGTGCCGAGTGTTTAATAAGGAGGGAACAACAAGGACAACTACAGTGAGTTGTGGCCTGTGAGTCATAAAGTTTGCCCACCCCTGATTACAGACAATAGCTGAGACTTGAATGGATAATACTTGAAGGAATTCAGGTATTGAATCAACTGTCCTAACCTCAGTCTAACCCATAAGTTAGTGTTGTAACTGCTGTTAATTTGTACATGTAGTACTGACTACGATATGTTAACTGACACCTGTTCAGATCTCTAACACTGACACTGTCCTTTACTGTTAGCTACAACATCCTCTTCATCATCTTTACCTATTTAGGAAGGTTTCCACTTAAATGACTTGTCCCTTCATTACTATCTGTGGTAGAGTGGCCGAGTTGTCTAAGGCGCTGGATTTAGACTCCAGTCATTTCGATGGCGTGGGTTCTAACTCACCACTGCCAGTTATTTTGTGGGCAGTGGTTGCTTAGTGATTGAGGAAGCGGGCTTGGGTCCGGAAGGCTTCAGGTTCGAGTCCACCAGCTGACAAGTTACCACTGAGTCATTCAGCATGGCACCGTCCCCACACACTGCTCCCTGGTCCTTAAAGCTGCCCACTGTTCACTTTGGTGATTGGTTAAAAGCAGAGGTCACATTTGGTTGTGTGCAGTGGTGTGTGTCACCAAGACAAATAATTTACTTTCCTTCCTTATGAGATAAGACTTTATTAGACTTTATACTGAACTGACACTTGTCCATTGCCTTTTTAAAGGAAATGTGCAATTCCAAGAAACAAGGCCTTGACAACTTGGCTTATGTGTATGGAAGCCAGAGTGAGCTCCAACCTCCAGCCAAATGTATCTCCAGGGTCACTTTCCGAATCCTGGGACTCAGCACTGAGCCTCAGGCCAGAGAAGTTGAAACCAGAATCTCCATCCTGAAAGGTGTGCTTGGCGTTAGCTTGTCTATGCCTAGGAAATTAGCCAAAGTGGACTACGACACCTCAGTCATCACAAGCAAAGAAATTGTCCTGGAGCTCCAGAACACTGGACACAGTGTGGAGGCAGCAGTCCAGATCAGGGTGGATGGCATGCACTGCCAGTCCTGTGTACGTTCCATCGAGGACCGCATTTCTGGGTTACCAGGAGTGACACGAATTCAGGTGTCGCTTCAGAACAGAGAAGCAGTGATTGTATTTCAGCCTCTAATCGTTGAACAACAGGAACTAAGGGTCGCCATTGAAAACATGGGGTTTGATGCCATTTTAAGAGATGACCTGTCCTTAGAAGACATAAATGGCTGGCAGTTGGACATCTTGACCCCATCAAGTCAGACTGTAAATATTTGGATTGTGGGAATGACGTGCAACTCTTGCGTGCAGTCCATAGAAGGGAGGATTTCTCAGATGGCTGGTGTGTTGTCTATATGTGTGTCACTCATGGAAGAAAAGGGAACGATATCTTTTGATCCCCGTCAAATGGATCCAGAGAAGCTCCGGGTGGCCATTGAGGACATGGGCTTTGACGCCTCACTTCAAGGTAAGTACATGGAGTGATGAACGACTCCGACTAATCCTTTATGTTTTGTACAGTATATAACCAGTAGGTCAGTCTACTATGTTCATACTTTTGTGCTTGAGCTCCTACTGTAGACCAGTAGGTACGGTTTGATGGGTACGTTTCGTTTGTAATAGAAGAAGTTTTAAGTAAGAAGTTTTGTTTCAAGTAGAGTGGACTGACTCTTCCCAGAATGACTAACATTTTCCATTACAGGTACACATTAGGTTGCTTATTTGGCTTTGAAAAACCAACATCAATGAACTCGTTTTTCAGCTTATCTCAAATATGAAAAGCTGCTAATGTGAGACTGTGGCTGAACAAAGAGATGTTTCAAATCTGCATTATAGAAACTACCTTCGCAAAACCATGGGCAAGAGATTTTCTATATTCATGTGTGGTCACCAAGACAACAGATAGCCTCAGTTTTGTCTGGTTACTGTGGAAACCAGACAAGTACACTTTTAGTGTGACTTCAAGGGCTCAGGAGAGCATTTAGGACCGATGACAAAAACCAGCCTATCTGGAGGTGTACAGGTTAAAGGGGCTAATGTAAAATGTGTGGCTAGGCAGCTGATATTTGAATGGAAGTCTGACAAAATATATGCATGTTAGTAATTAAATATTTTCTTTTTGTGTTGCAAAAAGCACTATTCCTTAGGATTTTATGGCACATGGGATTAAGAATTTGATTATTTGACATCCATCTTTGCTACTGAACTTTTCTTGTTCCTTAGAACCCGTTCAGAGCAGTGTGAAGTCCAATCCTGTCACCTCTGCACCTTCTCACCTTCCTGAAATGCGCTCAACCGATAATTCAGTACCCAGCAACAACAATCGATCACAGTCGATCCCTGGGATCTCTCAGTGTGGCTCCACTGATGTTAAAGCACAAAAATGCTTCATTTGTGTAACGGGAATGACCTGTGCCTCCTGCGTGTCAAATATTGAGAGGAACCTGCTCAAACACAGGGGTGAGTTGGCAAAAATAACCTCCGACTACATCAAGGTAGTAAAAGGTTGAAGGTATTTGAAGATTGAAAAACTGAAATTGTGTAAGGCAGTTTCATGCCACAAGGTATATAACATGGCAAGACTAACAGAACAGCAGGTTTGCATAAAGCTGACCCAGATTCATGGTCTTCTGCAGGAGTCATCTCTGTGTTGGTTTCACTCATGGCTGGAAAGGCAGAGGTGAAATATGACCCCAGCACCATCGATTCTGCTGCTGTGACTCAGCTTATAGAAGATCTAGGCTTCGGTGCCAAGCTGATTGAGGACAATGCTTTAACACATGGGAAACTGGACCTCTCTGTGAGTCTGGACTTTATCAAGTGCAGCATTCCTTAGTCCAAGAAACTTGAAGGATCCTTCTTCTGTTTCCCATTTAGATAACAGGCATGACGTGTGCATCGTGTGTCCACAACATTGAGTCCAAGCTCACCACAACCAAAGGCATCCTAACAGCCTCTGTCGCTCTGGCTACCAAAAAAGCACAAATTCAATTTGACCCAGATGTGCTCGGAGCCAGAGATATTATCAAGATCATTCAGGTAACAGTTACTTGTTTCGTTTTTAACTTGTCAGCAGCTTTTTGTCTTGTTTTGTATCCTGATTTGTTTTCTCACGCTAGGATCTTGGATTTGAGGCCAGTCTGGTTAAGACAGGCTTCAAAAATAACCTAGACCACTCAGAAGAAATTAAACAGCAAGTATCCACTTTTCCACAGCCTCTGTAGTACTAGTATTTAATGCTCGTCATTTATTTCAGTTAATGGCAAAACAAATGGATTTAAAATTAGAACTTTTGTTTTTGCAGGTGGAAGAATTCCTTCTTTTTCAGCCTAGTTTTTGGCCTCCCCGTCATGGGCCTCATGATCTACATGATGGTCATGGACAGTCAGCACCAGGAACATGGAGGCTCCATGCCTGAAGATCAGAACATACTGCCAGGCCTTTCCCTGCTCAACCTGGCGTTCTTCCTGCTCTGTACACCTGTGCAGGTGAGGGCTAACAGCTGACCCTGGTGTCACATGACCATAGGTTTATAAAGTCTCGAATGGTCTTCACTGTTCAGTAAGAATCTTACTAGATTTAGTTTCTTTAGTCTGAAAGGCTCTTTGTGTTGGTTGACACTGGATAGTTTTGACACCAGACTGACTTAAACCAGACCATAACAGGCTAAAGACTAAATTCCTTTGCTCAGCTTGGAGCATTCATTCATAGTCACTCACTCAGCCTTAAGAATGTGCTTCTGGCCTACCACAACCATTAAACAGAATCATTTTATACAGTTTTTTAAAATCCTCCAGTGTTTCTATTCAACATATATACAAAACAACAAATGTAGATTTTAAAGTAAAATACTGTATAGTCACTCTACTATGTGGCCACAGATTATTTGCTCGGTAGATTACAGTTTGCAGTTTTGTGCAGTTAATGTATTATTTTGTTTACCATCGAGCGTGTAACCTCCATCATTGGTCGCTAGATGGTGCTAAGGTCCCATTTGTGAATATTGTTAAAACGCACTGGTGCATTGTTTATTATAAATAAAATACTGTGAACTGAACACTCCACAAGAAGAAAGGGAAAAACTGGACTTGATTTAAAAATAAATCACACCATTAAAGACACCTCCACATTAGCCATTTGTTAACACATTTATGTTAGCTCATAACTTTTTATTCTAAGACATAGCGTGCTTAGTTAATAGAGATAACCATTGCTTGTGCATGTGAATTGTGTAAAAGAAATGAGTGAAACATCAAAAATGTGTTACAATGTGTAACATTACCACTAGCTATCACTATATTTTAACTTTTAAATGCCCCATAAAGTTGAATCGTTATTGTCATAAGATACATTTTGTAAAACACTTTTCCCGAAAGAACTAAAAATTTAAATTATAATCCAAAACAAAAGTACAAATATTTAATTTTATTGCACGATTCCAATAATGTCATTCTCACTACAGGTCTTGGGAGGTCGCTATTTCTACATCCAAGCATACCGCTCATTAAAGCACCACACTGCCAACATGGATGTTCTCATTGTGCTGGCCACCTCCATTGCTTACCTGTACTCCTGTGTGGTTCTCATCGTGGCCATGGCTGAACAAGCCCATCAGAGCCCGGTCACCTTCTTTGACACCCCACCCATGCTGTTTGTCTTCATTGCTTTGGGTCGATGGTTAGAGCATGTTGCAAAGGTCTTTTTGTAATCCAGATTATTTGGAGGGTTGCTTGACATTAGTGAAGTATTTCTTAGATGATTTAAATACTTTGTCGTACTGTGTTGTTGTTGATTCTACAGAGTAAAACCTCAGAGGCTTTGGCCAAACTAATGTCACTTCAGGCCACTGATGCTACTGTGGTCACTCTGGGATCTAACCTCTCCATCATCAAGTAAGATGCCAGACACAGAAACATGAAATTAAAAAATGAAACATTGCTTTTACGATTTCCAAGTGATATATGTCCAGAAATGTTGAAGCTGTTTTTTACCGATTACGAATTGACAACAAGGATAGTGTACATAGTTCACATTCCCTGAACTATAGTAAATAAATAACACATACTTTAGCCTTTGTCTTATAATCATGTTCTCAATTCTGTCTCAGAGAGGAGCAGGTAGTGGTGGACTTAGTCCAGCGTGGAGACATTGTGAAGGTCGTCCCAGGAGGAAAGTTCCCCGTAGATGGGAAAGTAATTGAAGGAAGCTCGACGGCTGATGAATCCTTAATCACAGGTTGTTGGATGTTCCAGCTGTACGTTGTTGTTGTTGTTGTTGTCAACTGATTGGAAATGTAAGCTCTGATGTTGTCTCTGTCAGGGGAGCCCATGCCTGTCAGTAAAAAGGTAGGCAGTTTGGTGATTGCCGGCTCCATCAATGGTCACGGTGCTCTTCTGGTGGAGGCAACGCATGTGGGTGATGACACGACTCTGTCACAGATAGTCAGACTGGTGGAGGAAGCTCAGACCTCCAAGGTAAACAGCCTTCAGAAAATCACACAAATAAAAAAATCACACACTGGAGGGTCCTCAAAATGTATAAATTCATTTCCCAAAGGGAAACTCCAGAGGGATTGTTAGTTTTAAATACAATACTGAAATCATGCAAAAATAAAATTAAGTCATTCAGTATTTTTCACATTAAACAGTATTGTCTTGATATAAATTATAATAGGAAATCAGATTACTAACAGCCAAAGAAACGTTTTTTTCCAGATTTTTCCAGATCCTGTGTATTTTTAACCCAGAATACAAAGTTGTGCAACTAAGGACTCGAAGTGTATGAACTTTTTTTTGTGCACAAAGTCAGTGTTTTCTTGTTGTACATTTAGATGAACTTCTTCCTTTTGTGTGGACTCAGGCACCAATCCAGCAGTTTGCAGACAGACTGAGTGGTTACTTTGTCCCCTTCATTGTCATCGTGTCCGTGCTCACACTGGTGGCTTGGATCGCTGTTGGTTTTGTAAATTTTGACATCATCAAGGAAAACTTCCCTGTATGTTTTTGGAGATGTGTTTTTAATGCGTTGATTACATGACTGGATTAAAAACTCACTTCCACGTCTCTTCCTTTCAGGGTTATAACTCCAACATCTCCAAAGCAGAGGTTATTGTGCGCTTTGCCTTTCAGGCGTCAATCACTGTTCTGTCCATTGCCTGCCCCTGCTCTTTGGGTCTGGCAACCCCGACTGCTGTCATGGTGGGTACAGGAGTTGGAGCGCAGAATGGGATTTTGATAAAAGGAGGCGAACCGCTGGAAATGGCCCATAAGGTAAGCACACGAAAAACACAATGGAGATAACTCCATTATCCGTTATCACGACATTATTAAACTGGACACTGGCCCAAACCTGTTTGTCCATCAGCTTCAGTGTGTAACATTTGGGAGTTAGGAATGTACTGTGCTTCGGCACAAACCAAAAAAGTAAATACTGTTTTGTATCAAGTTCATCAACCCTGAAAAGTGCATTTAACTGTCAAAGATGAATAAATAAAGTAGTGTTTGTGTTTTAATGCTCCTTCAGATTGGTGTGGTGATGTTTGACAAGACTGGTACAATCACCAACGGCATCCCTCAGGTAACCCGTGTCTTGGTGTTGTGGGAAATGGCTCGCATGCCCCTGAGAAACATCCTGGCTGTTGTGGGTACAGCAGAGGCCAGTAGTGAGCACCCGTTGGGCAGGGCAGTCTCCAAATACTGCAAAAAGGTAGGAACCCCACTGGTGTCTTTATTTAATTATATTCATTATGCATCATCAGATCGTTGGAATATATAGGAATATAGGATATCAATCCCATACCTTCTTTTCTCCTCCAGCATGCTGTGGGCTGGTGGAGGTAATAGTGTCAGTTGAGCATTAGGACTTAGGTACTGGACCAGACAAGCTATAGTTGTTTTTTATGTTTGATATGAGGCCAACACATATAATATACACTAAAATGTGTTATTGGGTAATATCCTGGTAATAAGCACACACATAGAGTGAGATGGAAGGCTGTTAATTTGTACGTTCACATAACAGGAGCTGGGCTGTGACTTGCTGGGCCACTGCCAGGAATTCCAGGCTGTGCCCGGCTGTGGGATCAGCTGTCGGGTCTTCAACGTGGAGCATCTCCTCCAGAAGGGGCCGCAGCAGATTTCTGAGGAGCACTTCCTGCTTCCTGGTGCCACCACAGATGAAAGTAGCCTGCTCTCTGATGAAAACCCATATACTCACATGCCTTCTCAGTCCCCGTCTTACTTGGTCATAATCGGGAACAGGGAATGGATGAGGAGAAATGGTCACCACATTGGTGCAGACATTGATGCCGCTATGAGCAGCCATGAGATGAAGGGTCAAACAGCCATTCTGGTTGCTGTTGATGGTGAGAGTGAATGTTGAAAATTGTGTTTATATATCTTCCTCCTTTACCTCTGTCTTTCGTATTGTGTTTTCCCTGTAGGCATGCTGTGTGCCATGATAGCCATTGCTGACACGGTGAAAGCAGAGGCTGCGTTGGCAGTTCACACACTCAGCAGCAGGGGCATCGATGTAGTTATGATAACAGGAGACAACAGACGGACAGCTAAAGCTATTGCTGCACAGGTACAACGCACCATTTGCTGTGACTCCCTATGGAAGCCCATGAGGAACTCATGAGATTCTGTATGCCTCAGGTGGGCATCAGGAAGGTGTTTGCTGAGGTTCTACCCTCACACAAGGTGGCTAAGGTTCAAGAGCTTCAGGAGAAAGGCCTACGGGTAGCAATGGTTGGAGATGGTGTTAACGACTCCCCTGCCCTCGCCCGCAGCGACGTGGGCATCGCCATAGGCACAGGAACAGATGTGGCCGTTGAGGCAGCAGATATCGTCCTGATCAGAGTGGGTAGCGCCCTCATGTGATTGCTGTCAGTAAATACCAGCAGTGATTAAGTGTCTCACCTGATTTTTTTGTTTTGTTTACTTAGAACAATCTGCTAGACGTTGTAACGAGCATAGAGCTGTCCAAGAAAACAGTGCAGAGGATAAGGATCAACTTTGTGTTTGCTCTCATTTACAACCTATTGGGAATTCCCATTGCTGCTGGTAAGGACCACTTTATCCTGTTTCTGTCACAACTCAACATTCACATTTTTACTTCACTGACCCATCATGAGCTCTGTATGAAAAAAAATCAGAGCTGTGTAGTTCAGATGATCACAGTTGTTCTTTTTTCTTTGGTCACCAGGACTTTGGCACCACCTTCTGGTTATTTTGAAAAACGAACGGGATGTTGTTAAACATACACTTGCGTTTTCTTTTCAGTTTTCTGTTGTTACAAAAGTTAACATTCAGTTTCTCACTGTGTGTTCAGAACAGACACAGTCCATTACAGCTAAAAATCTCTGCCTGTATTTGGTTCATTTGTGGTCAAGAACTTGTAATCAAACTGACAATCTCACCACAATGCTTCAAAACTATATGATGTTTGTTTGTTGCAAAAACAGGTTTATTTAGAAAATATTAGAAAAAATTACAGGTTCAAGCAATTTTACATAAAATCAGAGGTATTCAAATATTTCAGTGAGTGAATAATTTTGTGGGTTGCAGGTGTTTTCATGCCTGCTGGTCTGGTTCTTCAGCCATGGATGGGCTCGGCAGCAATGGCTGCCTCTTCTGTTTCTGTCGTTCTGTCATCTTTGTTGCTGAGAACGTAAGTCATTTGAGCCTATATTTACTGTTTTGGGTTTTTATTCTGCCTCCTGAAAAACATTTGTTCTCTCCAGGTACAAGAAAACTTCAGTGGACCTGTACGAGACACGTGCCCGGGGTCAGATGAAGAGCCTGGGCTCATCTCAGATCAGCACCCACCTTGGGCTGGAAGGCAGGTGGCGCAGTCCAGCTCCTCCCGGTACAGCTGAGGAACATTTCGATCAAAGCACTATGGCGCCCTCTGCTCTCTCCAGAGATGAAGTGTCTGTGAACTCTTTCAAGGGACAACAGGACCGCTACTCCCTGCTGGACCACCAAACCACAGAAGATATTAATGTGTAGCTTTGAAACAAAGGGAGTGGAAATCACAGAAGTTTCTGCATGTTGTTTTTGTGTTAACATTGATTTAACAAACTCTATTAAACTCTATTTTAATAAGCATTCTGCACAGTCTCTCGTATATATATATATATATATATATATATATATATATATATATATAAGTTACTGATGTTAAAATGCAATTCTTTTTAAAATAACACAATGTTTCTATTGTCAGGCTAAGCTCTAAAGTGTAACTATTGTAAAAATGAGTTCCAAATGAAATTATTTTCTAAATAATAAGCTAAATTAAATCTTCCATAATTTCCTCTGTCGTTTAATTGGAATATCTTGTCGTTGACAAGTGAAATAATTGGCCCACTAGGTGGCAGTAATGCATCTTAAAATAATCCACCACTCCAAATCCAAGCACGGATGTGAGGTAAGATAAAACAGCTCACAGGACGACTCACACTGGTACGTTTTAAATCCATACCTTTCTCCTAATTTAATGTAACAATTTCATATTTGCAAAATATGCTCAAATATCTTATTCGTGTTGAGAGGACCTTGTTGTATGTGGAGCTTTTTTGTGTTAGTTTCCAGCTTTTGGTTTTTCTTAAAGTAGGTTTTAGTTACTTTTGAGTTTATTGTTTCATAAATATAATAAATTACAGCTTTCTATATTTTGTGTGGGAGTTTGAGCTGTGCCCAATGTAAAGCTTGTGCAGAGGCGGGGTGGCAGGCTGGCAATACCTTTTGTGACATAGTCATAATTATTTTCAATTGTACTGCAGTGTGATTATTTTTGCTTAACCTAACAGCAAATCACACGTCCAATCCCTTGTATGCATCTGGTTGTTACCACGATTCAAAACATGTGGGATTACGTCTAGTAAGCTCTAAAATAGCCCTAGCTCAGCTTGAATGGTCGTTGTCAATGCCCGTGACCCCGTGAACCATATTAATTTCCTTTTATGTGCGTAATTCACGTATGCACTCACGAACCACACCTGTGGCTTTCTGCCCAGCTGGGAGAGAAACTGTTAATGCGCTTTAATTAGAGTGACTTATTAGAAGACATTATGTGATTACGTCGTGGGTACATACTGTCACAGCACTTAGAGAAATATGTTTTGTGAATACAACCACGGCAGGTGTGGTTCCATCTATTGCATTAGTGTCGGTGAAGTTTTGCTTCTCAGACATCCTGAGACTTTTGTACTGAAAACGGTCACAAGAACAAAGAGAAGAATTGTTAAAATGGTGAGTCTAAATGTATTAATTTATTTTTAACCAAATAAGGAACTGTATACAATATAATATTGGGTTAATTCTTGCAAATTGGAAATGAACTACCAAGTTTGTTTTACTTTTTAGCAATTTAGCGTCAACCTGTTTGCTGTGCTCATCTTTGGTAAACCATTTTTTTTAGAAGTTTCTGTCTTCTTATGATAAATATATATATCATTTATATTTGATTATGTGTTTTAGGGCACATTCAACATACGACGCAACTTCGCGGGGAAATAGGTGAGTTAAATAAAACAGCGTCAACATATTCGAAATCATTTAGATTTATTTTTTGCAGGTGCGGGGGGCTGTGTCATCATGTTTCTATGCTATCAGGCTACAATACTGTATATATAAGTACTCACTGGGATATTTTGGTACCACGGGGTATTAGGATATGTCGTAGAAAAGTGTAGAGTTAGGAGAAAAAAGTCGCACATTTGTGAGGATAAAGTCGTAATATCAGTATTAACGTATCATCCACGCATCGTGTCGAAGTGTCTAAACAACTTATCATCAAATATTTAATAAGTATCGTTTAACTTGGCGAACCACAGAAGTCTGTGATTTTGTGCAACTTCCGTGTGGTTCTTTCTTCGGTAAAGAACACCTCTACAGTTTCCTGGGCTAATTACGATGTGAGGCTGTGAGTCAGAAGATGAAGTATCTCTGTGTGAAAACCTGCTTTGAAAACCCCCGTACATTCAAACTGCACCTCTATTGCTAAGCAAATTTCAACTCTTGGGATGGAAAGGCCATTGAAACTTTTTCTTTCTTTCTTTCTTTTTTTTTTTTCTTATGAGATTTGCTACTACTGGCTACTTTGTGGCCAACTTTTGGAAAGTGAAAGAGAAGTCATCATTTGGCAGGAGCAGTTAGTCCTCAGGTGTTTAAACAGTAATGAAACTAGGTATCCATTAAATTAATGTAAATTTCCCCTTGGGGATGAATAAAGTATCGATCTGTCTAACCATCTATCTACACACTTTATTGTTCAGAAGTGCTTTTAGCTAAACTGGCTGCAACTGAAGAGAGGACAAGTGTGGCCAGATGCCAAACAACTTTATATGAAACAGTTTGTCTTAAACTGCTAAAATAAATCCCTAGGACAGAGGAACGATGCAATATCCTCAAATAAAGACATGTAAACTTGTTATTCGGAGCAAAAGCTAATTCAGCCATTAAGTCAACAGGTGCGACTATAATAATAATAATTTGAACTATATTGATCCCATATTTGGCAACTTCTTGTGTTAGTAGCAGATATGCTGTTAACAGGCTGCCCCCAGCAGGCGCCAAGCATGTGGCTCCTCTGGGAATAGAACCCAGTATTGTTTTGAATGTTATTGTTACTAAATGTCTAAGAGTATCTATTACAGTTCTTAAATATTTGATAGGTTTTAAAATACTCTTTAAACATTTTTTATGAAACTACATTTATAATTTTACAGGTCACAATTAGTCAGGGATGGAAAAGCACTGTGGAGTCACAGCCAAGTCAATAAATACTCTTAAGCTCCCACTAAAGCTCTAACTTCTCCTCCAACATTTATAGAGACAATTTTGTGTATTTGTTGTGTAGCTGTGCAGAACGTGTGTGTGTGTGTAGGCGTGTGTTTTATGAATATTTGGTTGTGATATTTTTTCGGCGGCTAAGTAAAATATACATTTAAAAATGAATTCGAACACCTTGAAAATGTATTCAACCATAGAGACCTATTTAAATGCATTGTTCTAAACAATTTTTCCAATTTTTACTTTTTTGAAAGTTCATTTGTATTTTTTTAATATCCTTTACATCTATTTGTATAACTATTTTTATCCCCACCAAGGTATTGTAGTCTCCTCTCCCTGGGAAGTAGATGGTCAATGCTGGACAGACTGGTTCAATGATGATGACCCTTCGATTGATGGAGATTCTGAGACTCTTACTGACCTGCTCACTGCTCACCCTGACCAGATCTGCTTGGAGCCAATTGAAATCCAGGTCAGGACAGAATCTGGAGAAAATATGGAATCCACTGGAGATGTGATTTTTGTGTAAGTACTATATACATGCACACACACACACATTTTCAATCATGGGACAATCATACTATTAAACATATGTAGCTACTGAGAACTTTGATGTGAATTTGTTGCAAGATACTGAGTCCATGGGTAAAAATCTTATAACAATAACAATAAATAAAACAAACTTAGTCTAATCAATTGAAAGCCACATTTTAAGTTATACAGCAGTAGTATGAAGTGCAATGCAACTCCATTATTTTTATGTTATTTGTTTTTTGTAAAGTGCAGATTATAGGACATATTAAAAGTATGTGTCTCTTTTTTAAAAGAATAGCAGTCGTAAGGTTTCCTTGATGCACATGTTTCCTTGTTTCTGCAGAGCTAACACATCTCTGGGATTCATTTGTAATAACGCAGACCAAGCAGATGGCATGTGTGAAGACTATCAAGTTCGTTTTCAGTGCCCTGTGGAATTCTGTGATCAAGGTTTGGAAAATTGACACACTAATATAGTTTTCCAGACTGCAACACTATATTTCCAACTATATTTGTTGGCATGCCAAAATTCATCTGGACAGACACCTTGGAAGCCAGACAGTCATTTTTTATCTAAAATTAATATTTGTCTAACATTATTATTTGATGTTGATTTTAAAATCCAAAAGAAAAAGAAAAAAAATGTAAACACCAGTACATAGAATTAGCTGCAAGGCTATTGGTTAGGCATGAATAATTTTTGTATTCTTCCTTTCCTTAGAAATAGGTACATTTACCAAAGAGAGAAAAAAAAAACTATTGTCAGATAACATTTGTAACAAATACTTTAATAGGTATTGTATCTTAACATTAGCCAAACATAAAGATAACAAAGGTTACTCGATTTGAAGATGGCTAATAGTTAGCCTAGAAGCAGCTAAACAATAAAAAATAGCTATAAAATATCAGAATTTAAATATTAGTTATAAAAAATAAAGAATAGCTTCTAGGCTTTTCTGATTTCTGACCCAATTCAAAAAACCTTCCTGCTCTTCCTCTACAACAGCTCCAAAATGCTGGACAGAGTGGTTCAGTGGAGATGAACCCACAAGCGGCAATGGCGACTTTGAGACGCTTAGTTTCTTGCAAAGTCTGTACCCAGGATTGATCTGCAACAGCCCACTGAAAATTCAAGTCAAAACTGTACTTGGGGCTACTGTAGAGTCAACACGAGATTTGATTGCTGTGTAAGTCCTAGATAATTATATCCGCTGGATAAACTGCTTGTAGGAGCTTCAACTAATAATCATGATATCATGATATTTCATGAGGCAATGTCAATGTTTGTCTGTGCAGAGTTGATGCAACCACCGGATTCATCTGTTACAACACAGATCAACCACACGACATGTGCCAAAACTATCAAGTTCGTTTCCAGTGCCCTTCATCCTTCTGCACTGGAGAATAAGATGTTCATCTTAACTGAACACATCAAACATCTCTGGTTCTTGTTATGAGTCATTGTTTGTTGTCAGAGCTAGAAAAATGTAGACATTTCATAAAATGCAAGAAGTGCAAAGCATGGATCGTTGATTTAATTCACCAGTTCTCCAAATTCTGGTCATTTCCCACTTATTCAAAGTGGGATTTTCAAGCCCCACCTGCCTTAGTCATCCCAACAAATATCTTGACAAATTACATTTTAAATGTATTGATCAAACACCAAGTAATATCATATTTTACAATGAATCAAAATCAATAACATCATATAAGAAAAAGTTAAAATGGAGAGATTATTTACAGATTTTGTGAATTTCTGATGGACTTTTTTGAATATAAATAATATATATATATTATATATTTAACTTTAGTAGTAAATGTCTTTAAGTGTTACATTTTATAGTCTGTTATTTCTGATTTAATGTAGTAAAATATTGTACTTTGGTATCTTTAATCCCATTTTATATTTGTGCAATTTTATTTGTAAAAAATATATAAAAGAAGACATTCATGTCTTGATATTTCTCTTTGCTTTTTGCATTAGATTGCCAGTACATTGTGGTTTAAATTAAATGATTTATTTCACTGCCTCCAGCCCTGGATCAGGAAAAAACTAAATGAAGGAGTCAGCAGTTTCAAGAAAAAAAAAAGGTAAATTAACTAATAATGTATAAAGCCAGTTGTCTCTGTTCATAGCTACTATTTTGAAGTGGGAGGAGTCATGGTCATAAGAGGAGGTATTTTGAACGTTACAAATGTTAACAAAGTCCAAATGATGACACTTATTTTCTTGTTCATACGGAATAATTCTACACAATGGTATTGTACAGCTTGATACATGTAGATCATTTTAGAATTGTTTGACTTTTAGGTATAGTGTGTAGCACATGTAAGTGTATATGTAATATAAAGATTAACCACGAGGGCCCATCCATTAGGCCACATTGTCTCATATGCTCATGTCTACCATTTAGAACATCTTTGAGTTTCATTACATATTTCTTGGTTAGCTGATACATGAGTTATTTACATACACTGTGGGAACATTTTCTGTTTAAATTTACTTTGAGTTAAAAAAAATGTCTTGCTTATTTTCTAGCTCTACTTTTCACATTTACTGCTGTCAACAATGCAGTGACATTGTTGGCCAGCAGGGCAGGCTAAAAATGGTTATTAAGCATTCCAAACCTCTTTTATCAGTGGACCATTCACTGTGGTAACCCCTTGAGAAAAATACATCCCAGAGGTGACTAACGTTGCTAGAGGGCTACCGCCAACTGCCAACAAGGCTAAGAACCACTGCTCTACATTGTTAACAGATTGTCACAGAGCAGAGTGGCGCAGCGGAAGCGTGCTGGGCCCATAACCCAGAGGACGATGGATCGAAACCATCCTCTGCTAACCAGCTTTTTACAAGTGGCTTAGGAAGTGGACTTGGGTCCAGAAGGTTTTAGCTTCGGGTCCACCAGCTGCCAACTTACCACTGAGGTGCTCTGAGCATGGTACTTAGCTTAAGCTACTGCTTACTTAGGTGATGGGTTAAAGGCACAGTTTGTTGTGTGCTCTGTCATTATGACTATAAATCACATTAACTTTTCACTCTATGATCAAAAACTAACGGCAATTGATACCATGCCAATCATTCTTAGGCAAATAAGATTGCTTAGCTGAAAGCACAAAATAGCTATTAAATAAATCAAAATAGCATGATTATATTAGATTAGTAATAGGTTTTAACATATACTTCTGGTGTTAATTTAGGAAAATTAAAAATGAAAATCAAGTCCAGAGCCAATGCTCACTAAAATGTAAAGTGATCAAATAATATTGCCACAATGTGCCCCTGGACTGGGCTTTGAGTCCATCCAACCTTTGGATAAATGATTATAAAGAACACAACACAGACAAAAGCAAGTCACAGAAAGAAAAACTCAAATTGTATTATTTTTTATAATTACCTATGTAATTACTCACAACTAATATAGATAATCACATCATCAGCAAATAAAACAATTTAAACACACTTGTATCCCTTTCCCCCAAACTGCGATACACACAGAACTAAGACATTTCTTGTCATTCCTTTGTTTGCATTGAAAAAAAGTGTTGTTCACAAGCTTCAAACCAATTCTAATAACTAAATACATCATTACACCTTATTATTGCATCAGTTGTAGTTTGTTCAAAAGTTATATGGAGTCAAAGCAAATACAACAAAATTCACATGGATATCAATTTTACTGAAATTGCACTGTCAACGGTCACAGCCCAACTTTTTTGCTTAGCAAAGTATAAGTATCTGGCTTCCTGTTACACTTTATTGTTAATTCAGAGTAGAAGGTCTGAGAAGAATTTGATGCCTTAAAGTTTCACTAAAAAATAATACTGAAATTCAGCACATTGATTTGACAAACGTTCCCACCAAAATACAAGCAAAAAAGAAAAAAAAAGAAAAAAAGAAACAGTATAATGACTAGTACTCAGGTTAACATTAAAACACTGTGTAATTATTGCAGAATAACCACTGACTTAACCTGGTGTCACATGAAGAAAATGCAGGATGTTGCTGCCTTGAACAGCAGAGGGTGTGCTTTTGACTGTAACATTCACCAGTTTATTGTATTATGTTTAACTTCCTGCTGTTTTTACAGAGCTTCCCTCTGACAAGAAAAGGTGTCATCCACGCCTCTTGCTTTCACTGAAACACCATAACAAATTTTAAGCCTCATGATCAACCAACAAAAAAGTTAAGTGCATCACAAGATTACTAATTCATAAAAATGTGCTAGTTAAGAGCTACGAGCCCCATTTACAGAAAAGTTGGTACACTTCTTAAAATGTAATTTCAAAACCACAATCTGTATACAGTTAATGCATATAAACGTTTTTTTTTTTGAGAAACATAAATGAACAAAAAGGGATTTAAGAAGATTATTTAAGTAATGTTTAGGTGGTGGTAACTGTGTAGGTATCAGGATTAGGTATAAAAGGATCCAAGCATTTTTCACTGTAGGACAGTTAAACATGTTGGCCTGTCACAATCAACAGTTAGTAAAAACTGCTGTAAAATGCACATGGGCTTCAAGCACATCAGCAGTTTTACATAAAAAAACTGCTAAACTGCCATGATGGACATTCACATTGACTGGGAAACTTAGCTTTACAGTATCTTTGTGCAGAAAGACTATAACGTTCTTGTGGCCAAGGTCATCTGAGATGAACAGAAAGATGATGGAAATGTGGTCTTTGTGTTATAGCTATATGTTATAGTTTTTATAGGGACAGTAGGTTGATTTTAACATGAAACGATTAATTAGACTATCCATTGTGCTTTTTCTATTTTGTTTTTTATCTTAATTTTATTTTTACATTGCAAAGTCTCCATGCCTAGGGAAATACATGTTCTCCTATTGAAACATCATGCTTTCCAACATGGGTTGGAACACATTCCGCTTACTTGCTATTACAATGAATTGCGATATTAAGCGCCACGGTTATTTATCGTAACGTTACCTTAATACCGTCAGAATTTATATGCCGGAACTATTATTAAGAGAAACTCAAACGGAACGAAAACAAAGTTACACAACACTTGCGAGTTGCCGCGTATGTTGTAAGTTTGGGGGGAGCTCGGGGCAAATGGCAGTAGAGTTACTGCCTCGAACAGCGCATTAAACGCGAAGGTATGGGATTATTTTGACTACAGAAGAAAATGACCAGGGTCTCGTCGTGAATGACGGCCTGCCAGCATTTAAGCATGTCAAAAAATGCGGTGAAAGGAGGAAATACATCCAACATGTTTCATCAGCTGTGGGACAACCAACATACATTGTTCGCCAAAGTAAAGGTAAAGACACATTAACTGGATTAAATTACATCAACGTTTCTTAACCTAATATTGAATTAGTAGGACAATAAATGTTAGCGTATTATTTGCAGTTGAATGCTTACGTGATAGACACGGGTTCAGCTTTCTGTGCAACGTGACAACACGGTATTCACCTGCTAACTAACAAAGGGTGAGGGCGAGAGCGTTTTTACATTTTATTTTATTCCATATTTTTTGTTGGGCAGTTTTAGTGTCAGTGTGCAGTGACCTGTGGAAGAAAACTCAATGTAGTCTGTTGTCAAGTCCTCAGTCAGTGAACATTTAGCATTAGCTCCTTTAGCTTCCTCCCATCAGTGAGTAAACGTTGGGCTTGTGCTTCCAGCACTATGGGATGTCGGTTTCATTTATTACTAATTTCTGTATGTCAAAAACAAACCAAAATAATTAAAAATGGCCAAATTAAATTAGACAAATTATTATACAATTAAAATACACTTAATAAACACCTTGTATAGATTATGATTGATGACTTAAACAATTCAACAGGGGGATCAATGATTGCTCCTGTATAAATAGAAATTTTGATATACAAATACAAATATTTTAGTTTTTAGAGCATTTAAAAAGGTGTACCCGCTTTTCTATAATTCCAATTTGTAGAAATTGTCATCCAACCTGTCCTTTTTGTTTTAAAAACAAACAGACAAACAAACAACAAATTATGTTGCTGACAAAAAAGACATTCAAACCTAAAGCTTCACATCATATGATTAAAAAAAACATAATGTCAAAATGAACAATCGTGTAAAAGAGACTGAGTGGTCACGTCCGCCCAGGCCCCATGGGTTCCCCCTCAATGAACCCCTAAACATTCCACAGCCCCAAATAATACCATTTGACTTAGTGCAAACATCAGGGTTTGGCTTCTTTTCCTTTTTGGCTATCTGAAAATCTTAAGACTGGGATTTTAGTTTAGTTTTCAACAAGCTGCTTTGTAATTACTCTCCAGTGCAAAGGAAAGAAGCTGAAACGTTTTGATGCAACTAAGTCCAGAGGCAGTCCAAAGTGACCTTTTGATAGTCTATTGCATGAGTATTGCGTAGTAAACCAATCTACTAAGTCACACTAGTCCTGGTACAAAGCAAATACAGAATAAAAATATACTAGAAAACAATCATTTAGCTTTTACAGTCAGCATTTAGAACACTGATTATTATTATTTTTTACAAATTTCCATTCATGCATCTACTACTAATAATTGATGGAGAATATTTATGATAGTTTTATACCTGGGCAGGGACAAGGGCTGGACGTGAATTGCCAAAAATGTTGAAAAAGTTAGTGGAAAATTATGGGAACACAAAGAAACACTACACAGGCTTCATAAAATACAACAGTAAACACATGCTCTATGAGCCATAGCTGTAAATGCAGGACGTTGACAAGAGAAATGAGGCTCTAGGATTGTTATAGTTGGCTCCCTGGGGTCATGTGATGCAGTAAAGAGTCACAGGTAGAGATTGGCAAGTGGAAAACGTGAATAAAGACAATTCGATTTCTTCCAACCGTAGAACTTGATTAATTGGCTACATCCCATCACACAATCTGCCGACAGCATCACTGAGCACTTGTAATATCCATATACCTACAGCACAGTATGTTCTACATAAAACTTTTACAAGTATACTTTTAAATGCATTTTCTATGACACAGCACTGATAGAGAAAGAGAGAAACCAATAAAGAAAATATAAAGTAAAACACGAGTTAGTCCTAATAAACATTCAACATGCTTGAACTGTTTCCTAAAAAACGAATCAACAGAGATCTCATGTTTTTAAATTAGTTATTTTAGTATATATATGTGTGTATATATATATATATATATATATA